TAAATATATGTCAATCCAATTCCATTTGAAACGTTTGGTTTCGAACATTCCGGGGCCCGTTATTCATCACCATAAAAAAATAAACTTAGAAAAAACACGCGAGTCGCATCCGTCTCTAAATCGCATCCTAAACGGCATTTACTCCGCCCCAGGGTAAGTGGTTATGAGCCGCCACTGCTCGGCTTGAGCTGCAACTATGGGTAAGATCCGATTGAGAGACACATGCGTACTGCGAATGAAATAAAAAGAAATGATAATGATTAATATTCAAAAAATGATAATGGGTGAGATCACAAGGCAATTAAATTTAGTTATCTTCATGAATTGGCAACAAACTGAGTTTTGCCACCGGACGTTTAAATTCACCAGTGCTGGTTTTGATGGTAACCACACGTACTAAGCCGTCTGAGCCGGGATGTGTGGCCAAAACTCTGGCCAGGGCCCACTTTGTCGGTGGTAATCGTTCGTCGCGAAGCAGAACCATATCGTTGACTGCGATGTTACGTGTTACTCTGCACCACTTCGGTCGTTGTTGCAAGCGGTTCAAGTATTCAGAGCTCCATTGAGCCCAAAATTCATCTCTCAATTTGCGCATGTAACGATAGCGATTTCCGATGGCCACATTTTCGTCAGCAATCGATACTTCTGGCAATGCAAGTAGGCTGTCACCAGTCAAGAAACGTCCAGGCGTGATGATCGAAAAATCGTTCGGATCATTTGACTGTGGAATCAACGGCCGAGAGTTTAAACAAGCCTCGATCTGTGTAAGTACGGTATAAAACTCCTCGAACGTTAAGCTGGCTTCACCCAATACACGTTTTAGGTGAAATTTTGTCGATTTTACTCCAGCTTCGAACAGGCCGCCGAAGTGTGGAGACGCTGGTGGGTTGAATTTCCATTCAATGCCTTCATTAGCTAGCGCTGTGATAGTTATCTCGGTGATGAAATCATCGTATTCACTCTGTTTCTCCCTGATCAATCCATCGGCACCAACGAAATTAGTGCCACAATCAGAATGCATGCATTTCGGCAGACCACGACGTGAGATAAAGCGACGATAGGCGGCCAAAAAAGCTTCCGATGACAGGTCGCTAACCAATTCGAGGTGGATCGCTTTCACACACAAACACACAAATACAGCGACGTAGCTTTTGTTGGTCTTGATGCCACGACCTTTCGATGCGCGTGTGAGAAACGGTCCACAGAAATCGACACCGACTTGTGAAAATGGTCGGGAAATTCGTACACGCGCTGCTGGTAAGTCGGCCATCAGTTGTTCCGTGAACTTTGCTCGTTGACGATGACACGCGACACAACGATGAATGCTCGATGAAATAGTTCTGCGTGCATGTAAAATCCAGTAAGTCTTGCGAACGTAGGCCATTGTGAGTTGTGTGCCACCGTGCATAGTTCGATAGTGCGCTGATTCGACGATTAATTTCGTAAAGTGATGTTTACTGGGTAAAATGATCGGGTGTTTCTCGTTGAAACTCAGTTCGGAATTTTTTAATCTCCCTCCAACACGTAGAATTCCCTCTGAATCGATGAATGGATGTAAATCCTTGAGACGTGTAACACAATGCGAATCATCCGAATTGCGTATTGCTTCAATTTCACGTGCAAACTCCTGTGCTTGCACAGCACGAACCCAAAACATTGTCGATGAATGCAGTTCGGCGGCGGTGAGTGTTCGTTCATAATTTGTGGTTTGTTTGAGTAGAATGGCAAACAATCGATGAAACCATGACGTTGTACGAATCAATTTTCGTAACATAGAAAACCGATTCAAAAAATCAGCCGTTGAATGAATGTGTGCGTTGACGTGATATGATTTTTTCTCTTCGAGCGGTTCCAACTCAATCCGAAGCTCCGACTCCGGCCACTCAGACTCAGGCTTCCGTAGCCAGTCTGGTCCAAACCACCACAGATCAGCTGTGAGTAAGTCGTCAGGTGATGCTCCACGCGAAATCAAATCGGCGGGATTATCGTGGGTACGTACGTGATACCACTGTTCGATTTTCGATGAATGTTGGATCGCAACAACGCGATTAGCGACGAATATTTGCCATCGATTCGGATCACTGCGAATCCACTGTAAGGCGGTTTGTGAATCAGTCCATAGCCTTACATCGCCCGGTGCAATTTGCATGTGACGCATTGCATTGATGACAAATTTCATAAGATCGGCCAATACCACGGCTCCGCAGAGTTCCAGCCTTGGAATAGTGGTTGGTGTCATCGGTGCAACTCGTGATTTGGAGATGACCAAGCGGGTGGTGATGTTGTTGTCAATATCAACGGTTCGTAGATAAATTCCCGCGCCAAATGCGTGTGTCGATGCGTCGCAAAAACCATGCAATTGTATAGAAATGTGATTAGGCAGAAACGAAATCCATCGGTTTGGTTTGATTGAATGCAATGATTGTAACTCAAGAAGGTACTTACGCCAATCGGTCGCGATTGTATCATCGACCCTCTCGTTCCAATCAACCGACGATTTCCAAACTCTCTTCATGATGATTTTTGCGCGTGCAATTACCGGCGAAACCAAGCCCAATGGATCGAAGAGCTTGCAAATTGTTGACATAATCGCACGTTTTGTGAACAAGTCTGCTGTTTCGTTGATGTTTACTCGAAAACTGAATGTGTCGGCCGCTGTATCCCAAAATGTGCCCAATGCTTTGATGGATTCATCCCGATCAAGTGACACATTTACTTCACGGTGAGTTTCGGGTACAGCTTCGAGTAGCTCCTTTGCGTTACTTGCCCATTTTCGTAAATTCAGACCAGCGGAGTTGAGAATATCAATTGTTTCGCGTTGATCTCTGAGAGCAAGCTCAATCGTTGAATTACCCGACATTGTGTCGTCCATGTAGGTATCAGCTCGAATGATTGCAGCTCCATTCGGAAATTTGGTCTCTTCTTCCTTCGCTAAATGCTTAATTCCCATGATAGCGAATGACGGAGCGAAATTTGTGCCAAATGTGAGTCGATTCATACAGTATTCTTTGATTTCTTCGCTGAAGTCACTTCTCCAGAACAAACGTTGGTAAGTGATGTCGTCGGGGTGGATATGAATCTGTCGATACATTTGTTGAATATCGGCACAGTATGCGATGCGATGGCAACGCCAATTGAGTAGAATGCTGAGTAAATCGGCGAGCATTACAGGACCTGGGTATAAAATGTCATTAAGCGATTTACCATTCGTTGTTTTTTGTGAGGCGTTGAAAACGATTCGAAGTTTAGTGGTCGTACTCGATTCTTTGGTCACGGAGTGATGCGGTATGTAGTACGACTGGCAGTAGAGTTCACCCTCGAGTGAGTAGCGGATGCAATCGTTTTCAGTATTCGTAGCAAGTTGCATGTGATTTTGCGCGATATAGTCCTCCATTCCCTTTGTGTATTCTTCCTTATACTTGGCATCGGATTTGAAGCGTCGCTCCAAGCGCAAAAACTGTTGAAGTGCCAAGAATTTGGATTTTCCCAATACAGCATTCGGATCGTGCGGTGTTCGGAATGGGAGTCTCATTTGCAGACGACCGTCGTCGTTGCGTGCAATTGTATCGTTGAAGAATTCTTCGCAGTATTGATCATCATTTGATTTCATTTGGACGTCAGGCACTGATTCAAGTTCGAAGAACTTTTGAATCGTTTCGTTCAAGCAAACGGAATAGTGATGCTGATTAATTGTGCTTGGCAATTGAGTGTGAATAGCCACCGGACCGGATAAAATCCAACCGAGTTCGGTTTGTTGAGCCATTGGTGTTCCATACGGGCCCTTTCGTAAACCCTCCAACATTACGGCCCAATACAAATCGCCTCCGAGAATTACATCGATTTTGGCTGTCTTCAAAAATTCGGGGTCGGCCAATTGAAGACCGTCAATGTGTGGCCATTTGTCGACCTTCACGTAATTCGTTGGCATCATATCGGTCAATGTTTTCATGACAACCGCTGGAGCCGTGGCTACGAATTTGTCGTTGTAAACGGATTGAATGCACAATTCGATCACCTTGTTGGCATAAATCGGCGGACCACCACCCATCGGTTTAACTTCGACACGCTGATTGAATGGGGTCAGTTTCAGCATCTGTGTTGCTGCGTCAGTGATTGAACAACCGTCACCACCTTGGTCCAGTAGAGCACGCAATGGTATGAATTCACCGGTTTTAGCTCTCACTTTAACGATTGCCGTGGCCAACAATACCTGACGAAATGAATGCATGTTTAATGTTCGGTTGTGATTGGAACGCATAACTGTGTTACCTGAAATTGTATTCGAAAATTTGGGTGCGGCTGTATTAGCCTCGGATGATGATGATTGAGTCGCATTACTCGTTGAATTCGATGAATTGTTGTGTTGATGTGTGAGTGTGTGGTGTCGAGCACCGCATTCCCGGCAATTCCGTGTTGATTTTTCTCTGAATTCTCGGTCCTTACTCGTCATTGCTATAAATTTTCCACACAAACGCACTGGATGTGCCTCCGAGCAAACTTTGCAAACGATTGGATTCCCACTGTTGACTGATTGAGATGATTTCGACGATGAAAAATGATTCGCATTCAATTTCCGCGAACTGTTGTTCGATTTTGAGTTCGTCACCGGAGAATGTAGGCAATTCCAACGTTGGTAAACGTACATCGGATTCACCGTTTGAATGTGTTGAATGGTCTAACGAAAACGAAGCATTTTGTGCACTGTCGTTAACCGATTGTGCGGTCGTTGCGGTCACCTTTGTGATTTGCTCCTGTACAGCTGCCACAGCATCGTAATATGCGTTCTCAAATTCGTCGATATGATTTGCTGTGAAATATTCTTTCTTTTTGTCACTGGCGTTGGCTGCCATTATCAATCGTCGATGATGATACATAAAATCGTCGTAACCAGCTTTGTAGGTTTTTATGCGAGTGTTCAAACGATCGAGACGACCTTTGCTGAATGCCGGTTCATTGGTGAAATTCGTAATGTTCCGTTTCATTTTTGCTAACGCGTCGGCTTGCACGGCTAACATTTCGGTGACGCTTAACTGTTCTGTTTCACTATCGCTCATTGTTCACGAAAATTATGTGGAATATTAATTTACGAAAGGAAAAAAAAACTATGCGATAACTTCGCTTTGCTACCAAAAATGTTTGTATTCGGACTTTGTATTCGGATCGAAATTCTGAGATCTAAAATGCGGAATGAAAAAAGCGGCGATTTCTATCAAATAAATAATATAATTTATTACACTATATACAATGTGTATGGTTTGACTGAGTTAATGCGACTGACTCTAAATTCAATGCCGCACCGTCACAGAAGGTGGCGATGGGTGCGTTCTAAAAATGAATACATTTAAATATATGTCAATCCAATTCCATTTGAAACGTTTGGTTTCGAACACATACATTGTCGCAGACTCGTGATTTCTACATATTGGAGCGGTCTTCTTTAATGAGCCAAAAGTAAACAACTGGCGAGTCGAATCAATATCGAACGCTTGCGAACTGTAAACCACACACTTCCAGACAATCCAAAATTCAACAGTGAGTACAAATTGGATTTCTAATATATTGATGGAAATATTTTTAAATAAGTAAAAGTTGTTCAAAGTCATTCACATAGAGAATTCGATGATTTTTTTTCGGTATTTGTAAAAACAGTAGAAGATCGTACTCGT